TCCTTCCCGCTGCTGCCCTTAAGGGTGAACCTGTTGTGCCCCTGTGGTGAGATGTTCTGCTCCTGGACTAGCTGGATGGATCTATCCTCTACACTCTCCCCTGCAGGGATTGCAGCTGCAGGATTATACCTCAGGCGTGTATGCCAGGCCTGAGCTGTGCCTGGTGGGGGCAAGGTGAAGCAGGGGGAAGAGGAAGCTCTCCGCCCACACTTATGGGACCCAGGCTACGACTGGGTCTGGGTTCTCTGGGACGGGGCAAAAATTCCTAGTCGGCGGGCGGGGTGGGGGAGTGCTGCGGAGTGGCGGGGAGTGGGCCAAGGGGCTGGGAGAGGGTCTGGCCCACGCTGCGCCTGGGTTGGGACTGGTCCCGCCAGCGCAGGGTACAAGAAGCTCTCCGCACACTCACCGGACCTGAGCTAGGACTGGGTCTGGGGGCTCCCGGAACTCGCAGAAAATCCTATTCGGCGGGCGGGGTGGGGGAGGCACTGCGGAGTCTTGGGGGGCGGCCCAAGGGGCTGGGAGAGGGTCCGGCCCATGCTGCGCCTGGGCTGGGACTGGTCCCGCCGGCGCAGGGTAGCAGGAAGCTCCCACCTACAATATTTAAATGACAGTGGATGCCCTTCTTTGACAAAACTAGCCAAAAAAGTGGGATACAAATGCAGGCCAATCATTCAAAATAGTTAGGATAGATATACAGCTCCATGCTCTTAATTGAAAGAACAGAGAGATTTGTTCTAATAGTGTTTGAGACAGGATATCATACCTACATCTTGTACAATGAATAACCACTAAGACAACCATATGCAATGTACTAATTATTGAAAATGTGCTAGTAATCGGTTGTGGAAACTGTCTCATTGATATTTGTTTCTCAGTAAAATTATTTAAATATAAAATAAAATGAAGCGGATGCTGGAAAACTCTGAGAACCACTCATGAACTGCCCTTAAAATCTGAACAAAAAGTTCTATTATTTTAATGAAGACACTTAGTTCACCCAAATACTGGCCTATAGAATTCAGGTGACTATTTTATGCTACATGTAGGCAGCAGGGCAAAACCTCAAATATACCAATGAACTATATTGCATGTTGTTCATATCCATCCACCAGATCACACCCATCAAACTTGGCTTCGTGCCACAGTGTAAAGGTCTGTGACCATGCTGGGAAGGAAGTAGTTGAGGTTCAGAAAGGGAGGGTAAACTCAAGGCACTCTGGACAGAAATTGACGTCCAGGCAGGAAATCAGAATCAATGCCCACAAAACTCAGAAATAAGGGCACCGAAGAGGCAATGGCTCAGAACTTGCTTCACAGAGAATTCGGGTGAATTCCGCTGTGGGGAAATAATAAGGAAGTCCCGAAGGGGAACCATTCACTTGAGGAGGGCTGCACTGAACCAGGAAATGAGCCACTTTTCTGGTCTATTTCCCCATTCTTCCTTTGTGCTCATTAGCACGAGCAAGCTCTAGGTGAGCTGCCCAGTCAGAGCTCAGTGTACCTGTGCTCTTCTCCACATGCAGCACGAAGTTACATCTTTTCCACACTACCTGCAGGGCCCCAGACTATCTCTACAGCTGGGAAATGACTAGCATGATGAGGGCCCTGCTGTGTAGGTGCATGGACTGAGGCAGGGAAGGGAACTGCAGCAGGGGGAGGTACTGTGAGAGGAAGGGGCAACCCTGCACACTGTCTCCTATAAATGGTCAGTTGGAAAAACCGCAAATTTATTTTCTGCTGCCCTGGCACTCTGAGAGATAAATAAAAAGCAGGAAGATTCAAAGGGAAGGGAAAGTCCCATCTCAGACATCTGCTTGCCCCAGACCTAAATCTCACAACACAAAAGAATAGCTGATTTAGAGGGCAGTTCCCATTCATGTAGGGTGGTGCTGTAATGAAACCATGATGAGAAGAATCCGGTGCTGAAGTTGTCACACTGAGTTTCTCTTCGGGACCTGCAAGACAGTGTACTCACACTTTTCTGCAGAGCTGTGACCAGAGTTTGGAGAAGCCATGAACCCCACCATCACGGCTCTGCTCTGTATGGGTAAGAAGGGAAGATGGAAGGAGACACCCTGGTTTGGGAGGGACGTCATCCCAGGACAGGACCTGGTCCATCAGCAGACCAGGGGCTCTGGATTGTCTGGGGAGCAGAGGTCCTGTTCAGGTTCCATCTGCTCAGGTCTTCTCACAGGAAACTCTATTCTAGGGCTTAATATGAACCTCAGGACCCGCGTTCAGGCAGGTAAGTGTGTTCTCAGCTGTTACAGGTACCTCCTCCTTCCTGAAGTCAAGGGGCCATTTCTGGGTGGTAGGGATGGAACACAGCAGGTGTGGATTGATGCTGGTAGGTCTGGAGGGTCCTGAGGCTGAAATCTTGGATCTGAGGAGAGCAGGAATATCCTGGGACTCAGCTATGATTTTCCCACAGGGACCTTCCCCATACCCAGTCTCTGGGCTGAGCCAGGATCTGTGATACCGCGGGGGGAAACTGTGACCCTCTGGTGTGAGTGGACTCTGGGGTCCCAGCCATGCCTTCTGGTTAAGGAGAAAAGCCGAGTACCTTGGAAGATACAGATGCCAGAAAATTCTATGAACATTTCCAACTTCTCCATACCATCCATGACAGAGTACCATGCAGGGCGCTATCACTGTTCTTGTCGGAGCTATGCTGGCTGGTCAGAGCACAGTGGTGCCCTTGAGCTGGTGGTAACAGGTGAGTGGATACTCAGTGTCTCAGCCCCAGTTTCTTCCCTCAGGAAGCCATCTGAACTCAGGGGTGTCTCCCTCTCATGTCTGAGCCCTGGGAACAGTGTGGCAGGTGTGAGTCCATTTCTCATTTTGACTTCTCTTCTAGGTTTCTATAGTAAACCCAACATCTCAGCCCTGCCCAGCCCTGTGTTGATCTCAGGAAGGAATAGCACACTCTTGTGTGAATCCTGGCAAAGATATGACAGGTTCATTCTGACTAAGGAAGGACGAGATAAGCTCTCTTGGACCTTGAACTCAGAGAAAGGCCCTCGTGGGGAGGTCCGGGCCACATTCCCTGTAAGCTCTGTGAATTTGAACCACAGTTGGACTTTCAGATGCTATGGTCATTATCGGAGCCAACCTCAGGTGTGGTCAGAGCCCAGTGATGCCCTGGAGCTTCTAATCTCAGGTAAGAAGTCCAGTTTAATTCAGTAGATATTCAGTCACCAAACACATTACCAGAATCCAAATTCAATGGACCCCAAGCTGACAGTGGGTAAGAGCACCTCCTGAACCTGAGACCCTACATGTGAGACAGTGAGACACATAGGGCAGGACAGGAGGGCAACGATGTGGCAGGCACCAGCTCCTCAGCCTGGCTCCTCCTTCTCCCAGGGAAATCAAAGAATCCCTTCCTCCTGACCCAGCAGGGCTTTTCCTGGCTGTTGGCAACACACTGACCCTCCAGATTCATTCTGATCTTGGCTATGACGGATTGGTTCTGCCCAAGGAGCAAGCAGGTGACCTCCCACAGTACCTTGGCTGGAAGGCCCAGGATGAGCTCTCTCAGGCCAACTTCCACCTGGGCCCTGGGAACAGCTCCCATGTGGGCTGTTACCAATGCTAGACTGGACACAGCCTCTGCTCAAGTCCTTTGACATTTCTGACAAGGCAAAGAGCATTCAAGGGCTTGATTATTTCTGAACTCAGAAACCCTTACTCTTATGCGTTGCACTCTCTCCAAGCTCAGGTATGGTTTTCTCCAAAGTGCCTCAGACACAAACTTTGTACTCACAGAGTACAGGGAGCCTGAACAATCTCACAAAGAGGCCTAAGGGAACTCGCTACAGCAGGCAGAGGACTCGTTCACGGCCACACAGTTACCTCAGGAGGAGGACACACAGGATGTGGAGGTCAAGCACAAATTGGGTCTCTGCAACACTGCAGCTCCTGCTCCCTATTCTTGGTGCTCTGAGGCCACTGAGGCCATTGGTCCATCACGGAAGTACTTAGTACCCAAGAGGGAGAGAAGCATTCTCTGTTATTGGGCTGGAAATACTGGGACCAGTCCTGTCTAGGGCAGCCAGGTGTCTGGGTGGACAGAGGGGCTATAGATACCCTGCTATGTGTCTGACCTCTGTGACCTCTGTGACTTCTCTGTCTCCACCCCAGCCCCACATACCCAGGACTACACTGTGGGAAATCTCGTCCGAATGGGCCTGGCTTGCCTGGTCCTTGTGGTCCTCGGGATCCTGCTATTTGAGGCTCAGCACAGCCAGAGGAGGACACGAGATGCTGCCAGGAAGTAAAGACAGCAGACAGCAAGCAATAACTGCTTGGAGTGGTGGAGTCCTGGATTCAAACCCAGTGGTCTCAAGAAGGCTTCAGCAGAAAAGATGCTGAATATCTGGACTTCTATGTAGTAATTATCCAGTATGTCGTCGTGTTCCAAGCATGGGGACATGGCAGGTGTCACGCAGAGATCTGTCCATCAGGGAAGTTCAGTGCTCCCCTCCATCTCACTGAAGGCTCTTCTGGAGGTCCCAGCTCACTTCCCAGCTCCATAGTTGAGGCTGCACCTCTTCTACCAGGTTCGGGTCTCACTTAGCACCCTTCGTGCCCAGCTCCACTTTCAGGTGACATTTTCCTTAACTATAATTACAATATTCCCCAGTGTGTATGAATGAGATTCCATCCTTTTGGCTAATGACCTACAGTTGGTTCAGATAATACAAAAATATGCAAAAATAAGATTCCAGAGCCAGTGAAATATCTCAGTGGTCTAGGTGCCTACCTAGCAAGTGCAAGGAGCTGGGATTAATCCCAGGTACTGCATGCCATGCTGGCCCCATGTTGTCCAGCCACTGAAACTGGATGTGGTGGCACATGCCTGTAATCCCAGCACTAGAGAGGCTGAAACAGGAGGATCTCTATGAGTCTGAGCTACATAGTAAGACCCTGTACCAAACATACATGCATACATACATACATAGAAATGAGAATCGAGGTTGCAAAAAACTAATACAGAATGATGTGCTAACCCTATTATGGACTCTGAACCACGTTAGCCATCATCAGATGATCTTTATGCAGTTTTTCTTGGAACAGAATGACTTGGGCTCAATATGCTGATGTTTCACAGGGTCTTGCTAAGTTACTACACTACCCAGGCTTGCTTTCAATTCAGGATAAGTGACTAAGCCTCCTACAGGGCTAGAATTGCAGGAATTGGCCACTACAACTGGCTTGGAAAAAATCACTTGAGGGGCTGGGGATACAGCTGAGTGACAAATGTGCCTGCCAGGCAAGTGCAAGGTCCTGAGTTTGATCCCTGGTACCAAGACAAACAAACAAAGTAGCCTTGATTTGTGGTGTTGACTGAGTACTGTAATACTCCCTTCATGTTCAACTTCACAGTATCAAACTCTTGCCACTTACAATGAGTTCAGATGGGGAGTACAGAACTGGGGTGTATTCAATGTCACCCCCTGTTCATTGCTGGGGTCACATAAGGAACTGACTTTATCTTAATGTTGAGTCAACCTTTCTGTCACCACATAGTAGTCCCAGTAGTAGACTAAAAACTTCTTACTTTTTAGTCGGATCTCTAGGATTTTCCCCAGACTCTCCTGCCGTCACTGCGCAGAGGCCTTTCTATTTGTTCCCTCCCACCCTGTGCTCCTCCCCTTTCCCGTGTGTGAGTGCAGCAGCCGGGACACGCAGGCAGGGCTGGAGCGGGCTGGGCGAGGGCCCCCTTGCCAGCTTCCTCATCCCTCTCAGGAAGCTTCTGGTTTCACATCGTGGAACATGGTGCTAACTTCTCCCTTCTATTCTAGTACTTGGAATTGAACTTAGGTCCATCACTGTGAGGTATACTCCATACCCTTCTTACGGTTATTTGAGAAAGGATCTCACCCTTTGAGTTGCCAGGCTGGACTTGAACTTGATCTATTTCAGACTTAGACCACCCCCTGTGCTGTGATAATGGTATGAGCCTTCACACCTGGCATCTTTGTCTGTATTCTTAAGCAGGCTGAAGATGTCCCAGTCTTTAACTAAGCTAGTATGAAGTTTTAAAATAATTTTTATTATTACCTTTTAGATATACATAAATGGTCACACTCACTAGAGATAATGTGTACCTGAACTTGATATTTCTTCTTTCTTTTTCCCCCTAAGCCTTCTCTTCTCTTCAAACCTTTTTGTCCTCATTTATTAAAGCTTTCCTTCTTGTTTTTTCCCTTTCTTTCCTTCACCCCTCTCCCATCTCTTGTCCCCTTTTTAATTTGAATATTTCCTCCTATTTCTCAGTGTATCTGACATGTTTTGGACCTTATTTGCTTTTTCAGTTCCACCCACTGGAGAAAAAAAACGTGATATAATTAAACACGTGGGTCTGATTTATGTCATTGAAGAGTAGCAGGATTTTCCCCCTTCTTTGCTTGCCCCTGTCCCCCTTCCCTAGTTCCGTTTCTTCTGAATAGCTTCTTCCTATTCCACAATAGCTTTCATACGTTTTGCTCCTTATTTACATATTCAGTATCTCATAGAAGAGAAACAATGCAATATTTACACATGGGAGTCTGATTTATTTTCTTCAAGTGTAAGTTCTCAAGGTTCCTCCCTATACCTAGAGAAGCCTCAAGTATTTCATGGCTGAGTAGAACTCTATTGTATAAAAAAATATACCTTCTTTATCCATTCTTTAGCTACTGGGAATATTGGATTTTTCCAAGATTTAGCAAGTAGAAACTGTGTTCCCCTCAACATGGTTATGCATATGTAACTGCGATCTGAATTTTTAAATTCCTTTTGGAAAATACTCAGAAGAGCAATAGTTGAATCAAATGAGACCTCTCAGCTTAGTGATTTTTTTAAGGAATCTTCACACTGATTTTCCCAATGTTTGCAGCAGTGTACACTCTGCAGCTGTGGAGAAGGGTTTCACTTCCCTCAAAGGCCCTCCAGAATTCATTATTGCTTCATTTCTTGATGATAAACATTCTTCTGGTGTGAGATGGCATCTAAGCATTGTTTTCATTTGCATCTGTCCAGTGAAAGGTGATATTGAACATTTTTTCATATACTTATTTGTTATTTATATTTATTCTTCTGTTAAGTGAGTATTCATCTCGGTGCCCATTTTTAGATTGGATCTTTAAATTTAGGAAGGTTGATTTTTTTCAATTCTTGGTATATTCTAGATATTAGCCCTTTGAGGATAAAAGGTGGGTTTTTTTTTTGCATTTTTTGGGTTGTCTTTTCACGTTATTGGTAATTTCTTTGGCTATGCTATAGCTTTTTAATAGAATGAGATCCAAGTTACTTATTCTTTGTAGTATTTTCCATTGCATCTGAGTTTTCTTTATAAAATCTTTGCCTACACCTATGTCTTTAAGATTTCTGCCTATTCTCTCTTCCAGAACTGTTTTAATATTTACATCCTTTCCCCAATTTGATTTTAGTTCAGTGCAGGGGGTATACATGGGTCTAGTTTTAGTGTTTGGTATGTGGAAATCTAGTCTTTCCAGCAACATTTATCAAGCAGGCTATCTGTCTTCCTGTAAACAAGTTTGGTCCATTTTTCAAAGACAGGATGGCTAAGTGTGTTTGATTATATGCAGAAGTTTTCCCTCAGTAAGTAGATTTTTACCCCATTTGGGTGGTATTTAAGAGGGATGACAGACAAAATAGAGAGATGTGTGTGGAGAAAATTAATAGAAGCAAGAATGTAAGGGTAAGGACAATCACCAAATTTTTTGAAGGTTGGAGAATAGTGTAGAAAAGAAAGAATGAAAGAGAAAACAAAAGAATATTGAAACCAACCAGAAAAAGAAGAGGTAATGTTAGTCCGCATGAAAGTATCACAAAATCAAGATTGATGCAGAAAGGGAGAATTGTGCATAGAACCAAAAAAATACAGGTAACAAATCTAATGATTCAAAAACTAAATCAATGAAAAGAAACCAAGAACAAATAACAAGCAAGTAAACAAAAAGCCCTGACCAATGAAACTGAAAAAGGAAAAGCAATGAAACAAAAAATAATGTAGTACAATTCTTATTCCGCAGTTCTGTGGTAGTGTCCAGGTTGGTTCCCAGAGATGTGCCATGTAGTCCCATGAAGTTTGCAGTAGGATTTGTGCTGGGTGAGGGGCCAATATTGTCCTCTGGATGTGGGGGCCAAGACTGGTCTTCAGCTCACAACATTTGAGATGTCCATTTCTACTTTAGTGTTTGTCTCTGTGGTTCTATTCTGGTTGTTGTCAAGCTCCTGGCTAGAGGAAGCCCAAGGTTTGTCCTAGCACTGTATTCAGCTACTTCCTTCCAGACCTTGTGTAACTATGTGTGTTCTGCACAACTAGCTCCTCTTACCCACTGATCATTGTGCAGGTGGAATGGCCTTGTTCCATTGCAGGACAAGACACACAGCCTCCTTGTGCCACTGTGTCAGGGCTGCTCTGTTCATCCCAGACCAGCAAGCCATTTCTGATCCTTTGTATTTAGGGCTCAACATAGTTTTAGCAGCCACCTGTGTGGATTCTGGGTGGTCTCACTTCCTACCTCCCAGCAGATTTTCCCCTCACCTGCTGCCCAACTCTAGAAGTGCACTGTGAGTGGATGACTCCTTTTTTTACTCAGAGGCTTTGGCAGTGGAGCGACCCTGGCCTATCCTTCGGGGACTCACTTTGTTCCCTTTGGAGGACAATGGTGGCCCCTCCTGCCACCTTCTGTTCTGCTTGTCTGTGTACCAAAGAGCAGCACAGGTTCTGCTCTCTCACAACTGCTGATTTTGTTGGGCCCCTTGAGATTGTGTCATCATCTGTGGTGGCAATGGCGTGCAGCACATGCCGTGATCTAGCACAATTTTTTTGTTGAATAGTTCTGAGATATCAATAAATGTTTCCCATGTCTATTGAGAAAACATTTATGTTAAATTTTCTTTTCGACCTACATTGTGGCATGATGGGTTAATTTGTTTCTGAATGTTGAGCTGAGTTTTACAGGTCAGAGATGAATCCCACTTGATCATGCTGTGTAATTATTTCTACAAATACTTGGATTTAATATGTTTGTACTCACATGTGTTGCTTAAGATAGGAAATGTTTCTTAGAAATGTATGTTAGGCAATTGTGTTGTGCCAACATAGAATAAATGTGCCCAATCTGTGTTGTCTCTGAGGTCACCATGTGCTGTCTTATGGGATCATTGTCATATATATGATCAGTTATTTATTGCAATATTGTGATGTGGCAGAAGAGTGTACTTTATCAAACGTGTTGCATTTGTGTTCATAAGGATATTGGCAGGTGGATTTTTATGATTTTTTGGGGATCAGTGCACAACTGTTTATGCAAAAAACATTTTAGTCCATCTCTAAGAGTTGCCAAAGTCTTACCAATTTCAGTAACACTGAAAAGTCCAAGTCCCAAGCTTCCAAGATCTAAGGCAAACTCTTAGCTGTGAGCCCCTCTACAAATGAAAAGTTAAACACTTCTAACATTCACAGGCACAAGATAAGCATTACCATTCCAAAAGGGATACATAGCTGGATACAAACAATTGGATCCAAAACAAGTCCAAGGTCCAGAAGGGCAAACGTTAAGTCCTGTAGTTCCCTGTGGACCATCCAAAGCACCCTGTAATGAGTTGTGAGCTCCAAAAGCCTGACCTGGCTCCAACCCTATGGCACTTCTGCGGGTAACTCCTCTGGCTTTTCTCTCAGGCCTGCTTTGCTCCCTTTTTGTAGCTTTTCTTAGATCAT